AGGGATTAAATGATATCAATACCTTTATGCTGCCGCGGCATTTTGCTTGAGCCTTTGCTGGCTCCTCTGAGCGGCAACTTCACAGTGACAGCCTTTGTCGGTGACCCATTACCGATTTAAAGCAGATATCAAAAGGACCGCCATGCAACCAATATAGGTACGTCACGTGCCATTTCAATTGAAACTGAAGAACTTATTTTCAGTACATGTAAATTACGTTATGTTTTGTAGCTCTTAAAGAAGCACTGCACGATTTAGGACCCCTTGGTCTAACACAGACTTTACAATACTATTGTTTACTAACTTGTCACACATTTGCCAGACCAAACTAGTTGTACCTAAGTAGACTTTTTTTAAGACAAATTTGCTTACAAAACGATGTAAATAAATACTGAAAGAGTATTAAGAGACAAAAAATTGTAGACCCGCTAGAATTACTTTTACTCTAGGTACCTATTTACAGTAGGTATTTATTTACAGTTTACGTTTTTCTTACTGAGAAGGTATTCTGTCAGGATCATATCGAGATTTCAATTACAAAACAAGTTACCTAATTAATTATTACCCATAAAATCACTTTTAAAAAGAAATATTAAATGAAATGTAAATATTAAATGCTGTTGATTTCTTGTGTCATTAACGTGATCTACGTTTTTAGTGTTTTTACTACGCTTGCTTACACAGGTATTTTGTTAATTTTATAATGCCCACATACTTAATACATACAAATTCAATTTACCGCAATAACTATATAAAACAAGGAAACGCATTTTACGTGTAAAGAAAGATAACGCGCAAAGCTGTTAAAAACATACAAAAAGTCGGAGCGGAGCGTGGGCTTGGCTGCGCCGGCGGCGGTGATACCTATCTCGGCGCCTTTGATCTTTCCGACGCACGACGCCGCCGAGCCGCGGCGCGCCGCTGACGCGCTTCACCACATTGTCTCATGTTCGTTACTTACATAATTATGTATGATATACCTATGAATAAAATTAAAGGCAAGTACAGACACTTAGGTTAGTTAGTTAGGTAAGTAGGACACCTACTCATTCACTAAATAACATGTGCTTACTAAATTGTTTTTTTTTATCAGATGATAATGAAATGGTACACCCGCCTATGCGGTTTACGCTGGCGGGGTACCAGTGGGGGATGATAAGATGAGCATGAGGTCAAGTCCGTTAGCCCACCAGTATTTATAACGATGGTTTCCAGAAGGAACCGCGTGGAGGTCAACCTGACATGGTATATTGTTACCAATGGGAGTCCACATTACTAACAATCCCATTCTGTGTTGTAAGAGTGCTGGTACTGATGTGCTATCGCTGCCCTTAATTACGTTACGGTAAAAGTCATGCTCAAAATTAGCGTACCAAATAATTAATTTTTTTTAGATAAGTAACACCTGTAAAGTTTTACTTCAAATTCTTATGTAACTGATATATAAAGTTGAGTTTTTTTAAGTGGATGGAATTATACTATTCACGAATCTGCATGAAGGAAAGCATGGGTTTTATGGTTAGTATGCCACGATGGCGGAACTCTAGTAAAAATTATTGGTATGTGAGTGAAGTCAGGTATGTAAATCCGTGAATAATTCACCACGAATTAACTGCAATTGTTTCCGATCGTGAGGAGGTAGACTGACATGGTATTTCATGATACCTTACTAACAATAAAGCAACTAGTTTTCATTACTAACAATCCTATAGCCTTGGTACTGTAGTAATTGTAACTTGTCTTATCGTAATTGTTGCAAAGTCGAACAAATTTTTATTTACGCGTTGTAAATTAGATTACCTACATATGTATGTTATGTTATTATCTAATATGTATTAATTTATATACATGTTAGATAATAACATAACATACATATGCATATTTTGTTATATATATAATACCAGTGGCACTCAATGAGGAAGTAGCCATTATTATTGCTAAAAGTTGCATATAGATGGCGTGATTGGTATCGATGGAATTCTTCATAGTTTTGCAAACGTTTTAAAAAACAAAACTGTGTTTTCAAAAATGTTTAATCAATTTTTAAAAAGTTATATATACATGTTAAAATGAAATAATGCGTTTAGAAAAGTAATTTTCATATATTTACTCATTTTGTTATTTTCCAGTACTTAATTACACTTTAATCACTGCTAATATGGGGCTCAATGTTTTCAAAATGCTTTCATAGATGGCATTGTCGTCATTTGTATCGGCCTAATTAAATGTCTTTTTTATATTTTCCAATAATAAGCACTTAATATATTATTATTATTGTAAATTAAACATATAAAAATTTTTTAAGTAAATTAAAAATAGCCGAACAAGCAAGTAATAATATTTCCAATAATACTTATGTATGAAGTGTTGTCATATTATAAATAAATACATGTATTATCGATTTTTTTTAATAATCGATAACAGGATTTTATTACGCATTATTCGATGATGCTTTTAATGAGTCGTTGTGAACAGTAAATTTTCATTATTTTGTATTATAGCAGTGTTCCGTTTCAAAGAACGGAATATAGTAGTACATTATTAGTGTCGTTGGTTATTTGCATTTGTACTGAAAAATCGATTACATAATAATTTAAAATATCGAGTACGAATCGTAGTTGTCTTCGAATACTGGCAACTGGTAAGATTAAATTAGTATTTAAAAAAAGAGAGAAATCGATCCTAATTCGAATACCATAAAGTTGATTTTCCTTTCTCATTAATATCATAGCAGTTTGTTTTTAACTTGCGTATGACTCTGTGGTATGATGTTTAACGTGTATTGTTATTTATTTATTTATTTATTTATTTATTTATTTACTTAATACAGAAATTATTATTAATGTAAATGTATGCAACATTTCAAAAATTATATTTTAATGTAGGTACATACATTTCTTTCATACATTTCATACATGTCAAAAATTATCTTTTAATGTAGGTACATACATTTCTTTCATACATTTCATACATGTCAAAAATTATCTTTTAATGTAGGTACATACATTTCTTTCATACATTTCATACATTTCAAAAATGAACTTTTTATGTAGGTACATACATTTTTTTCATACATCTCATACATTTCAAAAATTATATTTTAATGTAGGGACATACATTTCATAAATGTCAAAAATTATCTTCTAATGTAGGTACATACATTACTTTCATACATTTCAAAAATTATATTTTAATGTAGGTACATACATTTCTTTCATACATTTCATACATGTCAAAAATTATCTTTTAATGTAGGTACATACATTTCTTTCATACATTTCATACATTTCAAAAATTATATTTTAATGTAGGTACATACATTTCATACATGTCAAAAATTATCTTTTAAAGTAGGTACATACATTTCATACATTTCAAAAAGTATCTTTTAATGTAGGTACATAACACCCCATGTCAGACCCCTTGTATTTGGAAGAAACTTAAAAATAATGCCAAAAATATTAGATGAATATATTTTTAATACGAATATTGTTTTACTTTTGTTCATCAACTTTATCCCTCACTAACAATACTAGTAGTAGTACATAACCTGGTTTATACCGCTAAAGATATTGAAAGATATACGAGTAATTCAGAATGTTTGGCGTGAAAGCGAGACAAATAGACAGACTGAGTTACTTTAGCATTTATAATATTTTTAAGAATATCGCTATTAAAAATAGGGGTTGGTGAAAGACGGGTGAAAATTTAGGCGTGTATATATTTTCAATGTAACATTATAAATAAAAAAAAAATTGTCCATAATACAAAAAAATATTTTTTCGGGGTAGGCCACCCCTATGACTTAGGGGTATAAAAAATAGATAACAACCCTACCTCAGACCTGGCAAGTATACATATCAATTTTCATCATGGGAGAAATATGGCAACTAACACTGTGATACAAAATTTATATATTGTAATACACTACCTCTAAGTAGATATATATATATAGCGGCGCACCCGCCGGTAGCCTCGCGCTGTTGGCTCGTTGCTAAGCAACGGATACCCCGGTAGCGGTTGGGCAACGGGAGGCCGGCGGCAGTTGGTCGTTGAATACCGCACGCAGCGCAATAGTCTTACAACTTATTTTAATTATTTTTATGACGATCCAACAATATAAGATATAGCGGAATTCTCATTAGGTAAAAGAGGGGTACATCGTAGAATACATGAGGTATATACCAGTAAATTAATTGTAGCTAAAATCAGTCTCATACATATAACGATTGAAATAAAAAAACGTATAGCCCGATTTTGATACGTACGAGTATAAACGTATCAAAATCAGGCTATACGTATAGCGCAGACGCGTTACAACATATCAAAAAAATAGGCATGGAATGTAAAATAAACCATAACATAATAGGTATATACATTGGCACATAAGCCATATCTGCAGAGTGTCGGCTAACGATATTATACCTACACATTTACATTGAATCTTGAATCGTCCCTAATGAGGTACACGATACAGTAACCTACATATCTATTATATACATATCTTTGCAAAACAGATGTCATGTAGCTGAATTGACTGCCATCTATTTTCATGCTTTGTTACTAAGCACCCACTAGTAATCCGAACTGCTTCAGATCTAGCGACATCTAGCGGCTACGGTGGCGAAATAAAATAGCCCGAAGAATAGCCCGAGTTAGGAAGGAACCATTTTCTTGTATGGGATGGGGTATCTGTATGTAATATTATGTTATCTGTGATAATACCAAATATTTAAATGAAATTATATATATTTGCACATTGCAATAACATAGACTAACCTAAAATAATACAGGGTTACCACAACCTAGGTTAGAAAAGGTCACAATACAAATCAATGTCTATAGTACTATCACGGTTGAATACATCATTGGTCACTCAGTAAGGTCACCTTGGTGGGGCAAGGAGGGGTTGCTGACCGTATAGAACACGCTTTACTTACTAACCAAGAAAAAACAAGCGACAAATTGACTATTTCGAGGCGTGCCCGGCGGAGGCGGCATCGTTCAAAGGCACTTCGTGATCAAAGGCACCGCCATCAAACGGCTCGGCTTTCATCTCACCGCACGAAGTGCAAATTATGTTATAAAGACAGTGAGTAGCTCGCCCGCCAACCGGTGTACCCACTTCTAATTAATTCAACCCGTCCGCTGTTGGTTGGTGCGTACGTGGTTGTTGCCTTTCTCGTCTTGTCAAGCTGACAGGTAAGATAAGTTCAATGAAATACCTACTATTTCCCTTTGACAATCGTTAACTGCATTTTATTATATGAATTGATATATATATATAGCTACACATTCCTTTAAACATTTTTTTACTTAATATTTTGCTTTGTTACTTTAGTAGTTTACAATTGACTACCTGTGCGCCCGAATTTTGCGAGGTCCTAAATTCCAGGAAAACTTTATTAGTAAATATAAATATTGAATTTTTTAGGTATACGGATGTATTTATGTAAATATATTTACTATCCCTTAGTATGCAAGCAAAGTGTACTAAATTCCAAGTTCCTACAAGGTTACATTGTAAAAAGTTATGAGACACCATATTAGAACTAAGTGTATTTATTTCTTATATTAATCACTGAATAATTGAGTAAAATTTTTGTTATTATTATAACAAAGCGCACTTCTAGTAAATTGAAATACTAATCACATTCGCTACTAGAATATATCTTTAATAAACAGTAGGCACACCTGTTTTTAAACATTTCTGACGTTCACACTTTGCCAATAAAAGGTCGTATATAAATTATTAACATGCCTATCAATAAAAAAATACACTTAATAAAATATTTATTAGGGACCTTGGGAGTGCGAGTCTGATTCATACTTTATTTACACCTTACGGTTAACTATCTATTGTCGCTCGGTTGTTGCTTATTATTTTCAGGTGTAATAATATCTTGTTCCCTTTCTAACAAAAAACCTACGTACCTAGCCTACATTCAGTATACTCAGTAGATAAATATACATATTCTTTCGGTTAATTATAATTTGTAAGTCCATATCACATTTGTATAAAGCGGAAGGCTCGCATTTCGTAGAATACATAACAAGACAAGACAGAGATTTTGTGCAAACGCAAGCAATTTTTGGTCATTAAACACTGCTCGTTTGTAAACAATAACCGGTTGAGGATGGTAGGATTTTCTTTGAGCGTATTTTGTGCACGCCGCGCCGCGCCAATCTGGCGGCATGGTGCATTCGGCCAAACGATGAAACGAATCGAAGCTTGTTGTGAAGCCGCCAGCGGAGGACGGGGCGAGGGCGCGCGGAGCAGGGCCACGGTCGCGGGCGGACGATCAAGAATCAAGAGCCGCGTGCGTCGACCCACGCCAAGCTTTGATCTTGCCGCTATCGCTCGCCGTCTGAGCAGGCTGCGAGTGCCGCCGATGCTTCGGAGATCCCAGTTTCCACTATCCGGTACAACCACTACGACTACCGCCGGCCGGCACACCTGCCTTGCTCTATATACCTGCATAAGTATTATGGCTATACGTAAAAGCCATCTGTACTACGAATCTATAGAGCGAATAAACTCTTCGCATTAATTTTGATTGACAAATCAAGATGAATCAGATAAGTAGCTAAGTAATCGTATTAAAATATCTTCTAATATTATACACAATTGAATTAGTAGTTGAAAGTTAGAAATACATAACTGTTATTTCTACTACTATTACCACAGATAATATAATATTACATACTATTACCACAGATAACATAATATTACATACTATTACTAACATAAATACATTTTTGTGTAAAAGACATTGGATTTTACTGTTATTTTATTTTTTTTGCTCATAGCAGTTTTTTATTGTCTTTAAACCGTATCAGTGTATTTTAATAACAAGGAGTGAAGTAGTCACCCACGAGACATGTCAGCCTAAATTAGGGTACTGCCTAAACCTGTATATATGTACAATGTTAACTAGACTGAAATGCGCCGTAATATTATCCAATTGTTTTGGTTTTGTACATGTACAAATGAAAATAAAAGAAAGTTGGATGGGTTGTGTGAAAGATGATAAGTATAAAAGGAGAGTAAACTCAGATACGACGACTGATAGGGATCAGCGGAAGAAGGTAACATACTGCATCGATACCAAATAATGGGGATGAAGACAAGAAAATAACGAAAAAAAAAATTATTTGTTATTAAATTTATCTAAGTAATATTAGCCACAAGTAAAGGAAATTAATATCAATACTATTTGTTAACATAATGTTAGTACCTTCTAGTATGTAATATTATCTTATCTGTGCTTTTAGGTATCAATATAACCTCGCTGTATGAAAGTTTAAACGAAAATATTCAGATAGATATACTCATGAAAACAATTGTTTGCATTGTGTCAGGAGTCAGGACTTATTTCGAACCCATTGGGTTATGTCAAATCCACAACGAGGTCACTAACATAGCGTACTTCCATGAACCTAATTAATGTATAAATAGATTATGCAGATGAACTAAATATGGCCAGGCATAATCATTTGGTATAACAATTAAATCGTTCGTGACGAGGAAATCACGCGCAGCTGCGTCCACTTATTATTATTACGAGAACGTACTGCACCGTACACTAATGACACCCGATCCGACTCGCGCTTAATCCCGCGCTGCAATTTATAAATTACCATTCTTAGTCGTCACAGAAGGGGGAAATTTTATTTACATAGATCTTAGACTAAAGATTATTTACCAAAGGGAGACTATAAAAGTTGTCTGCGCGCGCACTCAGTCTATTTTTTCTTGTGAATGTAAATGGCCTGGTACACCCGCTTGCGTTAACGGTTTACGTTAATGGGGCACCAGTGGAGGATGATAAGATGGGCACGGGGTCAAGTCAGTTAGCAATAAATAAATCTAAATAATAAATCCACTATATGGTAGCATTATAAGAATTTATAACGATGGTTTCCAGGGAGGACTACGTGAAGGTCAACCTGATATGATACAATGCTAGGAATGGGGTTATTAGTCCACGTTACTGACAATCCCCTTCCCCCCACCTTAGTCTATTTCCTCCTCCTTATTTCATACACCAAGCTAGCTTTGTATGCTGTTTCGGTTGTAGTGTGTTGATTAGGCAGTGGAACTACTGAGTAAAAAGCAGACATGTTAATTCTCTGGAATGGCAATGCAAAGTGATATCGCAAGTGACACTTGACAACGTAATGTCCGTAGTGCTCTTCTTGTAGAGAGGAGATGCCTACCATCAGGTGGGCTGTCAACATGGTTGGAAATCCGATTTCATTAAAAATACTTTAGTTCAGAGTAGTATATCAATTAGTAAACTCTGTACTGTAATGGAATCTCTTTGCTACAATACAAATGTCTCTATATTTGCATTGTAGCAAAGCGATTTCTATTTTAAGGGAACAGAAAACTAGGTCGTGAATAGTTTCTTGTATGCGGCCTTAAGACTTCTACGGCATCATTGATACTCATACAACTTCGGCTCTAAATCAGGAAGAGGGAAAATTTGTTCAGGTGGACTGTATGCTTGTTTGCCTCCATTTCTAAAAACAACTGTGTGTATCTTTTCAGGCATCAGTCCTTATTAAATTTTAATTTTAATTAATAATTATACTAAGTTCAATGAATTATCTAAAGCCGATGTATTTTTTTACTAAGTCGCTATAATTATGTAATGATAGCATTATTAGAACTTTCCAATTACTCCTCACAACTGTATCGTATTTGTATATTTTTTAAAACAAATATTCATTGATTTTTCTTAACTCCAAACATTTCTTTCTTCCGTTGTGTAGATGAAAAGACAGTTATTCTAAATACAATCATCGACCATCAGATTACGGCGCGTATAAATAAACAAGGGACGGGCGACAACAGATCCGATGCAAGAGTTACTCGGAAGCGTTATTTCCGATATTCTAAGAACTTGTACTTCTTCAATAACAAGTCGAGTTGTCGCTTTTTGTTTGTAGTGTACCTACATGACCAAGAGGCTATGTATCTGACCCAACAATAAGACGTAATATTTATACAGATTATATAAATGTAACTAATCTAAATACTACCCTGAAAAACTAATACTCCGTTCCATGATCAACCATAAACATTAAGAGAATGAAATCCGAAGATATATATTTTTTTAATTTAATACTATCTATATATATATGTATTTCTTTAAACGACGGTAGATAAAAAAATATTTTTTTAAGCGAGATATATAATTTTTCACTTTGCGAGTAAACCTCAACCAGGCATGCTTTGCCAACTTCCATTTTCAAATTGACTAAACTACAGGTTTATATCAAGTTCACTGCACCGACGCTGCGGGAGAGTTTGTTCGATTTCCCGCGAAGAGGTCACTTTCTAGGAGATTTCTATTATAATCGTAGAGTGGACGAAAATTAAGTATCTATTAATACAAACTTATGTAATTTCAATACAAGACATATTAGAAACAAATACTATAGCCCCGGCAGGACTTTGCCCTAGTTAAATAATATTAATAAATAGTATACATGTTTTGTAATATAATATAAAAAAATATTAAACTATTTCTATCAGTTACATAGTTAGTAACACCTAATTCGTTTTTTATGTTGACTCAAACGCAACATTTGCAATTTAACTCCAATATCCGCAAATAAATTGAGAAGACGCCGCCGGCGGCTGTCGACGGGCCTGTACTTGACGTCGGAAATTGCAATCACATCAATAGAAAACATTCTATTAGATACGGATTATTATTATTACCGATGTTGTTTGATGAAAACCTACATTGTTAAAAAAATATTATTTTGACACGTGTCGCTACAAGTTACTCGAGGTATAGAAATTTCGTTTATTATTAATAATAATAAAATAAATATTATTTGATTTTGTTACGAAGGTTGGATAATTTTAGAATAATATATCCCTGTCTATGTATTGTACATATGTCTCTCATATAGCAACTAACCGTATACTATACCGTAAAAAAATTGTGATATTCCAGCCGTAGTATGTAAAAAGCAAAATTTCATTTATGTTTTATTAGTCCACTTTTCACAGATATATATAATCACCTAAGATTGTGTTTCGTGCGTAAATGATGTACATGAATAAATTAATTTTGAATCATATTAAGTGGATATTTTGGTGCAGAAAAAACACAATTGTGAAAAAAACACATAGTAACCTGAAATTTTGTTATGTACATGAAAGTCAAATTTGGATTATATTTGCTGATAAAAAATTTTCGCAAGCTAAAGCAACGTGTATAATGTCATTTTGTTCAAGTAACTGATGTGTATACAAAAATATCTCTTTCTCTAACAATTAAATTATCAATCTATAAATGTGATAAAGACAAAAGTGCGTAATCGATTTGCGAAAATTTCACATATTAGGTGGGTACTTATCATCTAAAAACAGGTTCGTGTTCAATCGATACGCGCGACGTCGGATTGTGCCTAGCGGAAGTGAACCCGATCTGTTCATACAATACGAGCTCCCGGGCTCAATATCCAATATAATCCATCACAAAAAGGAAAAAAAAACGACATTTTGTTTTGCTGTTGTGACAAGAGACGAATGAGAACAGACGCGTTAACGTGATTCCGTCGAAAATCGCATCCTGTTCTTTACATTTATTAGCGCCCGTGAGTGAGTGCATTCGCGTCCGGCCGCGCGAGTTATAATCTTTTCTGTCCAAATATTGATCTTTTTTCGCTTCCGTTCCAATTTACGAAACGGAAAAGGGCGGACTATTGTTGAGTAACCTGTAATCAATACACTATGAAAGTACACCCCTTTGTTGTATCAAGGAACTTGATACCCCTATCCCAAGTCTACAATGACGTGTCTCGAGTTGAAAAATTTGTACTTAATATATGTTTATGTAATCGTATGTTGACAATGACTCTCTAGCTATTACGTCTGTATAAAGATGTAGTTTTACAGTCGTCGTTTTTTTTATCTAAAATTAATTGTCTTAGATTGCCAATGTATGAGTTTATTATGAAGATTCAAAAATTGCCTGAAAGTATTGTTACAGAGTAGGTAACTTTTAATCATGGACAGTGAAAGATATACCTAAGTACGAATATATGTACATGAGGAAATCTATATTTCACTGTCCATGATTAAAAGTTGCCTACTCTGTAACAATACTTTCAGGCAATTTTTGGTCAATGTAACAGAACAATTATTGTTAGAATTCTTTTTCTGCTATGTCACAAATGTGGCCCCGTTATCTAAAAAACGGTTTAAACAATTTGATTTGGGGACTGTTTTCTCTAATGCATTGTATTTTTATATTACATAGGTAGGTAAACGGTTACCTTAGTCTATGCATGTCTGAAACACCAAGCGAGTTTAGGTAAGTTTAGTAAGTGTATAAGTTTCACTGAACTGTTTACAAACAACAAAGATATATCACGGTCACGAGATATACGGTACTAGTGATAAACATACAACAATCCCGTTTTGAGCGGGACAGTCCCTTTTTATAAATACGTACAGACTCTGTGACGCAATAGAAAAGGCAGTTGTTGGTAATTATGAATAAAAAAAATGTGCCAAGAGGAATAAAACAAATTTGTTCCTCCGATTATATAAATATAACAAAACATATTTTTATCAGATAAATATAAACTATCTATGAATAAACAAAATGTTTAATTATATTTATCGGATATATAAGACAACTTACTGATATTACATTTTTTCATTGAATTGTGTCCCGTTTTGACGTCAATAAATGGTCTTAAAACTTATCACGTCATGATGTGAATAAAAGGAATAAAACATTATTTTTTAATATGTAAGTTGTTTCTATAGGGAGATATAAGTTACTGATATTACATTCGACCACGTCACTAAAACTCACGTCATGATGTTGTAAAACAATTCATAATATGATATTTTAATGGCTACCATAGACACCAGTAGAGACAGTCAGGTGACGTATATACAATTATATTTTTTATTACAAAATATAATATTATAAGAGTTTCTCAACACATGGCTTTGGCTGCGCCCTTAAAATTTATGTTCTATAAATTATGAGATCTCATAATACAATTCTTGCATTCAAATAGTAAAGTGGAAATCAATAATACAGTTCTACAAAAGATATCGTAATAATCATAGATAAAGTTATTTGCCCTTTCTTGCCTTTGAAATTTTGTATGCATTGCATAGAGCATACAGCATACAGGAGCAACATATTAGTAGGTTATGTAATATAGTATCTGTTTAATATTCTACTAGTTATATTCTATGGTTGTGGGTAAGATCCTTGCATGATACAAATTTATTGTATTAGTTTGGGTGTATTGTTTATTAAGCTAATTAATTATTTTCGCATGTCAATCAATTAGTTTGTGGTTTGATTGGCGTGTTGATAAATAGAAGGAGATATTAATGAAAGCTACTAGAATGACGAATTGTTACCAGTTATGCGTAGAAATTTATAAATTAAGACACAAAGTTAAATTACCTACTTTTCAAGGTAAAATTAGTAATCTATAGAATGGCATTTCAACTACATATTTATTTTTCAGTGAATAAGTTGTCTCAAATAGTTGTTATAAATGTAAAGAGGTTGGTAGTTATTAACTGTGCACTTAGAACTCCTACAAGCTCGGGATATTTCAGGCCTAGAGGAAGCTGTGTTCTGGGTTATTATTATTACTGTGGAGTTATATTCAGCATTTTAGCAAGTGTCTTTTGTTTAAAAATCTGCTCAAAAGTTTATGTTGACATATACTTAATGTACATTAAACAATCGCGTTACCGAATTATCTTAGGTTGCCACCTATGTTGTGGAATTCTAAACTGTCCTTAGTGTGCGTAACTACAACTTGTAACAATAGTAATACATAGTTGGCGGCGCATGGTTTCGAATGAAATGAACAAGATATAATGAATTTCTGAGAACAACCCTTATAGAAATAAGGAAAGCCGCGGGTATGGCGTGCGGCGGAGGCGACAGGGTTGGCGGGGGCGAGACCCATCCATCACTCTGCGGGGGTGCAATTAGGCGGAATAGATGTGCTGACACGCCACGACGGCCCTGGCCGGCCGCTTGTGCGCGTACTCTACGCCGCGTCCATCACATCTGCTGACTGCATCATGTAACTCTATGCATACGTAATGAGGTTTTAATTACGGCATCAGATAATGTCATGTCTAAAATTTAAAATTATCGAAAGTGCTCTGAAATACCCACTCTAATTCAAATATTTTATACCTAACAATGTTAGTTTAACGTTATGTCACGTATACGGTGTGTGACTTCAAAGCCACTACAGCGGTGGCATTGATAAACGATTTTGTGAGTGATGTCATAGTTTAAGAAATTCAACTAGCCAACATTCTTGGAGGCAATAAGAGAGCATTAGTTAGCTGTATTGTATTATTATGGCTGTTCCTATAATAATATTAAACAAAGCAGAAATTGTTTTTGTCTGACTATGTAATATTTGTAAGTGCATTCCAATCTTTGAGACTCATGGTTTTCCATTAGTCCCACTCATTATTATTTACCCATTCTTATCTATTATACTAAAATCCTTTAATAGCTTCCATTTAGCGGGCCCGAGTCTCATGTTCACTTGATAGCGGCATCGTTGCTTAATGATTGTCGGTTTCTTAATTTTAATTCCCCATAAAAATTCGACAAAAAGTTAATGTCCATTCGAGCGAGGAGCACTGCGGAGTTGGCAGGACTGAGGGGTAAGAGCGGAGGCTTCGGCAGCGCGGTAGCGGCAGCCGATTATCCGCCGATAAGAAACAACTTTTTGATTTATGAAGAAAGCTCAAGAGGCGGCTACCGGGCGCCGCGCGGCTCCTTCGTCCGATGCACTTTAGTGAAGGCAAAATATAAAGCTCTCTCTCATCGACTATATATATTTACAGGAAACAAATAATATTGATATGTTGTAGACATTTGTGTTGTTATTTCTTAGGTTTTATTCTTGGATTTACCAACAAGTGTTAGTAATTGTATAGATATTGTCTATTTTAATATAAATTTGCTGAGAAGTCGTAATAGTCGTAAGAGTTCGAAACGAACTATGAATTAATGACGAACATAAAGGGTTCAGAAACCGTAAGGAATTAAATTTTAGGTTTCATTAAAAATATTAGGATTTATTCAAATTCTACTTATTAACACATTTTTACATTGTTATAATATGGATATTATAACACTGTAAAAATCCATGTATTAGCCATACATGGATAGTAGACTATCTATGTATTAAAAATAATAATCATTTGACGTTTATCTATTTTAGCATAATTAGACTTATTTTTTTCTGACCAATATTTTGAGTTTTTACAAGCTTACCTAATAGGTATTATCTAACTGATAAACATACAGTTATGTCTGCAATTAGTGTTACGCATTTATTGTCGACAGGTGTTGCCTACATCACTAGCGGGGAGTCGACAAGTTTGTCGAGATTTTGAAACATAATGTAAATTAGGCAGCCGGCGCGCGGCGACCGGCGACACAACAAAGGTGCCGACTCAGGCTCTCGCACCCAAGCCTTTTATTTGCTACGGTTTAATTTAACTTTTATGTTACATATACCTGGGTACGTATAATAAAAAATTCCATATAAGTAGGTACCTATTTACATCTAACATTGCATGTTTTTAATAAGTAGGTACCTACAAATTTAATATAGTAATTAATTATTAGTATGTATTTAATTACAAATTAACCATAACAATGTTGTACTATGCATTGTCAAAATTCAAACAATCGTTTTCACTTAGTTTTTAAAAACTGGAAATGACGCAAACCTTTGTTTTACTTGCTGGTTAATTTTTAAAATAGTCGACAGGTCGACTGAAAGTAGTGTTTTACTTATACATTAGAGCATAATTATTGTTAGCTATACAGAACGCTACAGTTAATTCTAATATTCAGATCTATCACTTTAAGTTAAATCTTTATGAATCAAGATTACGAATGCATAATGAATATACGACGACACGTTAAAGAAATCAGTTACGATTTTTGTTACTTTTATCAGATGTATTTGTCCTTTTATAGTAATTAAGAATAATAATAATAATAATAACCCAGGACGAATGCCACGGCGCGGGTACTTGATAACTGTTATAAATATTTGTTTTTTTTTAAATATATCCATAATATACGTAGAAAACCATGCAGGGAAACGAACCCGCGACCATCAGAAGTGGTGCAGTAAACCACTAGACTACCGAGGCCGTATACATTACAATTGCAAAATATTGCTGGCGATAATTGATATTTTCCATAATTAGTAAAAAAGTGTACAATTCATAAGTATCTAAAATATGATAATAATAATAATAATAATATAATATTCACACAGAAGGCTTTCATCTATTAGTGTTATCAGGAACCACATTTAATAATAATTAGTTGGAAATTTCAAAAATTTTATCCTTTCAAGAAATAAAGTTTTTGAATAACATGCCGCCGGTCCTGTTTGGCTGGATTTCACCATTCGTAGTATAAACACGTTCAAGGAAACGGAGTTTAGCGTGAACGCGAAAAAAAGAACGACGTTGATCTTGTTTTACTTTAATTGGAATTCACCAGCATTATACAGATCGTGTTTACCAAAATTAAGTTTAGATTTTCATTCATTCACAGTGTTACATGCTCATAAAATAATATTTGATGCAATGGGTAATTTAAATAAAATAATTCTAAGAATTAAATTCAAATAAAAACTATTATATTTGTAATTCAATCCTGTGATAATTAGGATAAGCTTTTTAACTTAATAAGTACTGTTGACTACAAAATATATAATAACAATGTTTACCTATAAACGAGGTAAAACATTATTTGTATTTGAGGATTTTTTTACACTACTGGCAATTTTCTTTTTATTCCCTATATTATATAATTGCCCAAAATTTGATTGTGTCCTAAATTCTTTGAGTTATACCTATATCTGCAGGAAATAGTTGCTCAAACTATTCACTTTCTATAATCCAGTATCACTGGAGTCTGGATGAATAGGTGAACCGCCGCGCCAGTGTAAACTGTTAGCGTAGGCGGGTGCACCATTCTATTATCATCCATAGGACGATACGTCACGTACGTTTATCGTACTATAGCCTACAGTCTAGGTTTGCCGTTCCGATCGCGATAATAAACCTACCATATGTTTCGAATTGTTGGATCATAATAATAATTTGACTGTACACTATGATTTTGACTAGAATGCTGTTTTAGATTTATAATTCTATCAATAGTAATCAAATTGACCGACTCAATGGCTAAAGGACGTATACCCAGGCCAGAATCAGGATACAGGAAAATAAACAAGTAATAAATAATTGTCAGTCGTCTACAGTCAGTAATGACAGCTAATATACATAAAAATGTCATTCAATGATTAGCTGACAGTCAAGGCTCAACCATATTTATTAAAAAGTCAAAAACTGAAAGAGGCATATGGTCGGTCTGTTTTATTTCATAGGTTATTTGCTTTAATGTAGTAAAAAAATGGGGAAGATAAAAAAGACGAAGACTAAAAGAAACCAGTCTCCTGAGAAATATGATGAAGAAGAGCAATTATGTGTTGATTCAAAGGAAAATGCAATTCACACGCTATTGGATCAGTTGCAGGTTATAACAGTATTTTTTTCTATAAACCACTCTTATTTATTACCTAAGTAAACAAATTCTTTTTGTTTTTTTTTTATTATTAATTCAATTTTGTTAAAATACAATCTTATAAATTTCAATCATTTATTATGATAATACTTTAGCAATACAACACTACAACAAATGAAAGATGAATGAACTACAAAAAATAAATGATCAGAAATTGTTTTAATGAATAAAAAAAATATATGATTGTGCCGTCTTATTATGATGATAACTAACCTAATTATTTATTGGAATATAATTTTAATATATGATAATTTTCAGACCGCTAATGTAGAAGAGAAATATTGTGGTTTGCAAACTCTTGCTTTGCTTATTGAAACTCCTGATCATTTAGAGCAAGTTATAAATCAAGGAGTCATCAAAGTTGCTGCTCCATTATTAATGGATGCTGCTGGATCTATACGAAATGCAGCTTCTGGCACATTAAGAAACATGTCAGCACTAAAAATGGAAGTTTGTGATGCTATGATGGATCAAGATGTCATGACATCACTGAATGGCTTCTTTCAAGAGGTTAGTAAATTTTGTAGTGTTAAAATTTTTATACATATCTTTATTTTTCCATTTTGGCATTATTCTGATTATTCTTGGTGTTTTTTCTTTTAATCAATAGCAATTGTTCTTTTGTTGGTTTCATATAGTTTGGTCTCACTGCAGTTTGTTTATGTTACCATGATACAAAATGTAATAAAAAACAATATTAATGGTACACTGTTTAGTAATTCTTTTTCTATAATAAGATCTAACACCAAATTGTTATGGATGGGAGTGTTAACTGCTTTGGAGTTTTTTTAAATAATATAATTATTGCACATGTTGAATTACTTTTGAACATTTAAACCACTTGTATCGTTGCAGTATGCACAAAAATGGACACCTGATGCTACATCTAAGTTTAAGGATGAGGACATTGATACATTTATTAATTGCACAAACTTATTGTTGAATCTGTGTGAGAGTTCAGGTAATATATTTTTTTTAATTCAGTAGTGTAGTTGATGCCAATTTTCAGTGGTTTTCATTTTCTTCATTAACAAGTATGCATGTTCTTCAAATTTTATTTGTTTATCCAGTTTTAAATGGTTGTAGGATTACAAAATATAACCCTGATCATATAGGTTTCAAACCATAGAAATAATATGATCTTGATAAATCAAGATCCTATGCCTAATGCATATGTACCAGATGCCTGCACACATAAAACGTTCGTTACATATTCATTGTTAATCATAATAAAATATTATAGTTTAGAACCAACATCAATAGATTTGATTTAAATTTGAAGTACTTTTATCGTTGAAATAACAGTACTAATAATAAACCATGACAATTGCTGAGTTATAATTATATAGTATATGTATATATATTTTGTCGTTTTATGGGTCCGAAAAAAACAATTTTTTTTTATGATATTTCTTACAAATTTTACAAAATAAAAAATTCTTAAAATTTTTTATGAACTTATTACATAAACTTATATTAAATACAATATTTCATCTTTATATGTCAACATTAACCTTTATTTTCAGCACAGAGCCACTGATTGATTTTAAAAATCTTTCTTCTTCTTTTACTAATCTTATTCTTAAGTTCTTTAGTGAATGTGTAATAAAATGAAATAAAATGTTTAATAATAATAATCAAAGATTTTTAATTGTGTCAGTTAGAATATAGTATTTATTAATCAAATGAACATCACAAATATTTTCAAATTTATAGTTGTAAAAATCTTGAAGATTCAGATTTTTTCTATGCTCTTGTACACAGAAAACTCATTTCGTATGCAGCATTGAAAAATTGTTTTTGATATTCTTTGCAGTGATATGTTTTGTCAATCTTTACCTGTTTGTATTTTTTCCTCTTTTAGTCTGCATTATCAATATATTGTAATAGACCTTTTGCTTCCAAAGAAAGAATTTTTTTCAAATTTCCATGCAAATAGGTTACATTTTCCCCATGCAGACAAATTCGGTTTTCTTCAGCCGTTGTATCCATTTTAATATTTTTACTGTTGTTCTACACTATTTTTTTTCTATATTATTTATTTTTACTTATTATTTGCTCTGACAGATAACCTGAAGGGTCATTTAATGATTTTCCTGCAATAAAATACAAGTTTTTAAGATGGATATAATATTTAAAACTATTTTATTTTTAAAAAAAAAAACCTAATTAATTTTTTTTTTTTATATCAGTCATAAAATAATATTTGACCAAAAATATAAAAATATGATAATCCTGTGATAATTAGGATAAAAGTACTGTTGAATATATAATAACAATGTGTAAGAATAAAAAAAACATAAAATAAATGTTATATATTTCTACTTATTCCATATTATATAATAATCAGAATATTGTTCTTTCTTTGATGGAATGTATCTTTTTCAGAATCATATAATCCAGTATCTCTTGAATAGTAACCGCCGCGCCACAATATTTGTCTTAGTTTGTTCATCTATTCATCATCAAAGAGTTATAAAACCTACAGTCTATTTCTTCTGACATAAACCTACCATATGATATTGACTATCAACTGTACACTATGATTTTGACTAGATCTCTTTTATTAACAGTTATCATATTCAAATTAAGACTTTTTAAAAAGGCTAAAGGACGTGATTTGGGGCCTTGACTGTCAGACTACATCCAAAATAAACATGGTTTTGTCATATATAACAGCAATGAATAAACAAATATCTTGAAAATGTCATCTTTTATCCAGTCAAGGCTAATTTTGATTAAAATTGTCAACAAACATATTTTCAAAGATTTGCTAAATGGTTCCAAAAATCCAAGATAAATGCATTGCTCCAAAAGAAAGTCTTATTTTAATATTTTTCTTTGAGATTTATTTTGATCAAAGGAACTCATCACAGCTGAGATCTAGGGCTTCTACTACAGCCTTAAGTATTTTTAAAAACAGAGTCCCTTTGTTTTTTTTTACATTATCTAAAGTGGCAATAACTTAGGATACAAATCTTATAAATTTCAATCATTTATTATGAAATACTTACAGAACTTACCATTTGAAAGATGTTGAACTAAAAAAATTCGTTCAGGTTTTAATGAATAGAAAAATATATATTGGGATTATTATGGATTTTCTTGCGTATAATTTATATATGATATCTTGTGTAGTTAAAGATGACGATATACTTTTGGAACATCTTGTCTTTTTTTCTCTTCTTTTAATTTTCTCTGTCTTGTTCTTTTTATTTCTCGATGCTGCTTTTTATCTACTCCCTGGCACATTAAACATCCTGACGCCCTGGTTCTCTTTGTTTTTGTAAAAATATTTTATCTTCTTCTATTTTTATCAAGTCCAAAGCATTTTGTGTGCTATATCGAATAAATTATCTAAATTATTTTGAAAGTCCTGATTATTCTTGGCGCTTGTAAGCAGTTCTTTTGGCGTTTTTTTTTTTGAATTTTTTATGTTACTGATCCAAAACGATGAACATCGACACTGTTTAGTTTTTTTTCTACAGTTAGGCCTAACAGGTCTGGTAGGGATTCTAGCTTTTTCCCAGAATATAATACACTCTCGAACGGCAAGATTTGCGCTTACATTAATAGTCAATTTAACTTCGCGAATGTTAAAAAATAGGACTGCAAGAACTTGACGACGGTAGACGGTAACTTAGCTCCAGTAATTTGATGGTTCACGTCACCAACTAAGAAAATACTTTTTTTATTGAGTGGTATAGTTGATTCCACTGCCATTTTTTTAAACATAAAAACAATATGTTAATGACAAGAGTTACTGTGAACAAATGGCAAATACGATGGGTGCGCGCCACTAGTTCGGCGTTACTTGTATGAACATGTTTCGATGCAAGTCGGCACGGGTTATCGTTATTCAAATTATATAAAAATGTATTTTCGAGTGTTTTAGGAACATATGAACAAAACTAAGACCTATGCATTAAAAAATAAAAACTTTGAAAAATAAGGGACACCCTAATATATATATTATAGACATTATTAAATGAACAGAATAAAGAGCTTTAACTGTACTTATTTCGGTACTGGTAATATATAATTTATATATAATTCAAATACTCTTGATTAATTTACAGAATTAGCCATTAAATACCTTGGGCAGTATAAAATATTAGATATATTTCCAAGATACTTAGATATTGGCGTATTTGGAAGTGATATAGTAGCAGCTGTCTTACAATGTTTATTTGTGGCCATAGAAGACAATCCGCAGGCAATGCAACACATAAAAAACAACTCAGAGAAACAATTAGAGCAAATTCTCTCTATGGAAGGAAGTGACCCTTCTATATTACTGATAAAGACTCTAGCAGCAGGAGTTATTATAAATGCTTGTGGTGGGAATCTAATTTCTTTACCAGTAAATTTCATTAATGAGATTATTTTAACATTGGCTACAACTCTATCTATTGATCATAGATTGGCTTGTAATCAGGTTTCGAGTAATATTCCATTAAGTAATGGTGCAGGCAAGTTCGAAGCACTTAAAGGTAAAGAGGCACAAGTTTTGGGTAGCCAATTAAAATCAGTCACCCAAATGTTAGATGGGCAGCAAAGTGCAATTGAAATTATTGCAAATATTTGTTCATGTGAAGGTAATTTTGATTTTTTTGTTATTACAAAGTTGAAGTATTTCATTATATTTATTATATTATTTAATTTCTTTTATGATTCTAAGTAATTGTTAAAATTTGGCGATTTATTGTTGTTTCATAATTAAGATTGATCCTCTAGGTTTTTATTTTTTAAATATTTTATTAGGAATAATTTATTATTAATTACTATTATTTAATTAAAAAGCTCACTATATGAATATAATTTACATTTTTAACTATCTATATAAGATTACTTCACACATTATGGTGTTAAGTGTTAATATTTTATGTATTGGTAATCCATTTACATTATAACTTCCTATTGTCTGGCTGTACATTATAATATTATTACCTGATTACAATTTAAAATTGTAATCAGGTAATTGACTAGGGCGTACCCCCGAGGCGACGCGCAGGAGCAGCACCCGGCCACTGCGAGAAATGGAAAAGTGTTGTTGGGCGGGTGCAACGTAATAGTACGAATAAATGTGGCGTGTGTACAGGAGACTAAATGAAAAGGAGCGAAAGCTAAAGAGATTGGGGAAGGATATAAGTTTTACTACATAGGAAGTAATGGAAAACGGAATGGGGTTGGAATAGTGCTAGATAATGAACTGAAAAATTGTGTGACAGATATAAAAAGGATAAGTGATAGAATAATAACTGTGAAAGTGATAGTCAAGAGCATGATTCTGAATGTCATTAGTGTGTATGCTCTTCAGACAGGAAGTGATGACGATGTGAAAGCAAAGTTTTGGGAAGATTTTGATGGCTTGATGATAAGTATCCCAGAAAGTGAAGAGCTATATGTTGGGGGTGATTTTAATGGACAGTTAGGCGTGCAAAATGAAAACTATGATAGGGTTCATGGGGGGAGGGCAATTGGCAACCGAAACGAGGACGGCGAAACTTTATTGGAAACTGCTTCTGCATTTGACCTAGCTATAATAAACACTTGGTTTAAGAAGAAAGAGGAACACCTTATCACCTATAAAAGTGGCCAGCATGCGACACAAATAGACTTTTTCCTAACGAGAAGAAACAAGTGATGGACTGTGAAAGACTGTAAAGTGCTGCCGGGGGAAGATCTAGTTAGACAACACAGACTATTACTAATAGAAATAAAAATTAAAACACAGTATAATAAAAATAGGAAATGCGGGGGGCACCTAGAACTAAATGGCGAATAATAGAAAAAAACGAGTATGCAAGCAGATTCAATAAAGAAGTTGTAGATAAAATGATTAGTATGAAAGACATGAAAGGAAAAACAGTAAATGAATGTTGGGATGAAATAGCACATTGTATAAGAATGGAAGCAAAGCAGGTCTTTGGAGAAAGTAAGGGAAAGTGTATAATAGATAAGGATACATGGTGGTGGAGTGAAGAAGTACAAAAAATATTAAAAGAAAAGAAGAATGCTTTCCAAGATTGGCAAAAGGTACCTATAGAGAATGAACATCTGAAAGAAGAGAAAAAGATAATGTATAAAAAAAAATTAAAAAGGAATCAAAAAAAGTAGTTGCAATAGCCAGAACAAGAGCCCTAGATAAAATATATAGGTCACTTGATGACCCTAGTGGCCAAAAAGAACTATACAGAATAACAAAAATGAGAGAAGAAAGAGCGAAAGATATGAAGCATGTAAAATGTATAAAAGATGATACAGGACAAATTTTGTTGAAAGATGACGACATAAAAGCACGTTGGAAGGGATATTTCAATAAACTTATGAATGAAGAAAATGTGTGGGAAGATACTCTAAAAGATGTCTCAGTAAACATTGGTGTAGTGAATGAGATTAGTATGGATGAAGTAAGAAAAGCAGTGAAAAGTATGAAGAATGGGAAAACAGTCGGGCCAGATGGTATACCAGTAGAAGTATGGAAATTATTAGGAGATGATGGCTGCAGGTGGCTGGCTTTATTCTTTAATAAATTATTGCAAGAAGTGGCGATCCCTGAGGAATGGTGCAATAGTTCACTAGTGCTCATTTTTAAGTATAAGGATGATGTACAGGATTGCAATAATTATCGGGGAATAAAGCTAATGTCGCACAGTATGAAAGTATGGGAGAAAGTGATAGAGAAGCGATTGCGTGAAGAGACGGATATCACCGAAAACCAGTTTGGATTTATGCCAGGCCGAAGTACCACAGATGCCATATTTTCACTGCGTCAGCTGTGTGAAAAATACAGACGTGCTCACAAGAACTTGCACATGGTGTTTGTCGACCTGGAAAAGGAGTACGATAAAGTACCCCGACCGGTTTTGTGGTGGGCCTTGAAAGATAGAGGAGTGCCAGTGAAGTATGTGGAGTTAATTCGTGCTATGTACAGTCAACCTCGTACATATGTGCGGTCGGCCGCTGGAAACACCAGCGAGTTCAGAGTGGCTGTAGGCTTTCATCAGGGATCGGCTTTAAGCCCGTACCTCTTTTTGTTGATAATGGATGCCTTGACGTCGGAGATACAAGAAGAGGTACCCTGGTGCATACTATTTGCAGATGACATTGTGCTCGTTGGTGAGGAGGGGGTTGGGATACAGAGTAGATTGGTGATGTAGCAGCAAAAGCTGGAAAGCGGGGGCTTAAAAATTAATTAAGTGTTTCCAAAACGGAATACATGTTTTGTGATTTTGGCGGTCTTTCCGGCTCTGCAGCCATATCACTAAATGGAGCTCCATTACCGATCTGCTCCGATTTCCGGTATCTAGGTTCTCTCCTCCAAAGCAATGGTGACTTAGATAGGACCATAAAGCATAGAATTAACGCAGGATGGATAAAGTGGCGGCAGGTTACGGCAACGACGTGTGACTCGCGTGTTCCCCTTAAGCTTAAGGGAAAAATTTACAAGACAAAGTGCTGGCCCGTAAAGGCGACGGATGAAAGACGACTGCATGCAACTGAAATGAGAATGTTGAGGTGGATGTGTGGTGTGACAAGAATGGATAAGATAAAGAATGAATACATTAGAGGAAGTATGAAGGTGGCACCGGTGTCAGAGAGGTTGAAGAGTAATCGTCTATCATGGTATGGACATGTAATGCGTAGGAACGAGGATAATATTTTAAGAAAGGTGTTATATATGAATGTGGATGCTTATAAGGGCAGAGGAAGGCCGAAAAAGAGATGGATGGACTGTGTGAAAGATGATATGGTAAGAAAGGAAGTAAATAACGCCGACCCCAAATAAATGGGATAAGGAAGAAGCAGATGATGATTACAATTTAAAATTGTGTTCATAATTTGTTAAAATAATTTAATCATATTTCTTTTTATAGATGGTGATGATTCAATGAATGGTGGCGATTCATCAGACAGTGATGATTTAGAAAGTGATGTATTGGATAATGGTGATGAATCGGTGCTTATAGAAGATAAATTGCCACCAGAGATTATGGAAGCTCTTGTTTCTTTACAATTGTTTGAGAAAATTTGGGCTCGTGCACAGTTACCGGCGCAGAATGTCATGTTAATATTAAAAGAATATGAAGGATCACAATTAATTTATAAAAAGTAGGTATTAGAAATTTAATCCTATTCATTATTGTTAAATATCTATAGAATAAAAATTCTATTGTATTAATAGTATTACATTACTAAGATTTCAGTAGAAGTAATTATTTCCCGAAATTATTAATCTCATAAATTATTTTGTACCGCGATGGTTATCACTTCACCACTATATGTCATGTGATGCGGTGTAACTACGTAATGTATTTGTTACCTGTAATATTTAGGTAGAGAGTATACAGGTGTAGTAATTGAACTACATTAGTAAGTTTATTTGATAGTGTGCTACATGGCTTATTTGTAACGCCTACACTCAACGCGGAGTCGTAACATGGACTGACTTACACTGAACTTCAATCTATGTTCAATCTGAACTGCTTCCACTTGTAATATTTTAGTGTTGAGAAATAGTATGTATGTATGAGTTTAGCCACAGTTTCATTAAACATTAAATTAATATATATAATAAATAAATGTTTAACTTTTACCAGAGGTATATATTGTATATAGTTATCTGCGTGGGTATCTCTATCTCACCTATTTCATTCGCCATGCAACTGGCTATGTTAGCAACTTTCGGTTTGTATATTATATAATATAATAATAGTTTAGTATTATAATCATCTTAATTAAGGCAAACAATTCTACTAAAAAAGATTAAAATTACTTAAGGTTCTAATTTTCATTACATTTAAAGAACACAGAATATAAAATATTCTGTTCTTTGTTTCTCATTCTCATTCTATATTAACATTTATTAGACAACTTGGGCTTTAGTGAACACATTACCAAAAGTATCTTTTTGGTAACTGAATAATGCAATAAGATAAATGATGATGATGATAATAATAATAATAATATTTCAGAACAATTCACACAACGCTATCTAGTTCCAAGCTAAGCAGAGCTTGTGTTATGGGTACTAGACAACTGATATAAATACATGAATACATTTTTTTTGTAAATAAATACTATTATACATAGATATTAATATGTTTTGTTTATTTTTAGGATACAAAATCTACAAACTCGAGCCCTTTTGTGCATAAATAATATGATTTCAACATTACCAATGGACAGTCTTGGTGGAGTTAATGGAGTCTATAAAATTTGGGTAGACACAGGAAAACTCGTGTTTGGACAGAATTTAGACAATCACAGTCTTATAGAGTCTGCTACGGCTGTTATGAGAGCTGCATTAGACAAAATTAAGTTTAGAGAAAATGAGAACAATAGCAAGTGTAATTTGTTTGGTGATATGGCTCTGTCTGATATTGAGGTAAGTGAGGTTAACATGGTTTCTACACATACCTTACTCAGCGTTTATAGCGTATTTTCGGGATATATTATTTACTTACTTAAGATTACGTTAATAGTACATTTAAAGACAAACTTGTTGTTTCCTAGTATTGCTAAGAAAAGTCAATATGTCATTTATGAGAATAGGTATTAAAATATTCCACTAAGATAGCATAGGATATACCTTTAAATAAATTAAAAACATCTTTTAATTCATATTTATTGAGCAAAGCCTATTGCTCAGTACATGATAATGATAATGTAAAGGACACATGTGTATGGCCATAGTCCTTCATTCAAGACACTATCATTTAATGACATGGACACCTATATAAGTAAACAATATCTGGCTTGACAAAAAGGAATTCTGTTGAATTTCTTGCCAGTTCTTCCCTATTGAGTCTATAAATAACATAAATTAAAATAATAATAATAATCACAGGACAATACACACAACGCCATCTAGACTCAAGTTAAGCTAGCTAAAGCTTGTGTTATGGGTATTGGATAACTATTTGATTTTCTATTCTAATATGAATACATAGATATTTTTTTTCGTATACATTGAAAACACCCAGACCGATACAAACAATCATACTCACGAATACAAATGTTTGTGCAGTGCGAATTATTGAACCCGCTACTATCGGAAGTAAGGCGGTGGACTAATCAGCTAGAGCTAGCACCGAGGCCGTCATATAAATGAAAAGAAATTTATTTTAGTACGCTGATATTCGCAATTCATGAACCTATGGCTTATAAGCTAGTACACATAACTTTCCAGATAAACATCTTTGCTATCATTACTTGCATGTATGATAAATGACTTTGTTTTATATTGCAGATAATGTTAACTGGCATTCGAGAGTGTCAAATGCCCGAGGTAAGAGCGAACCTAATCAGAATGGTTGGACTACTAGCTCTTTTGTTAGTGAACAATTTGAACGAAACCACTACTAGCGTTATATCCAGTATCACTGACTTTATTTTGGAGCAGGCGCATAAGGAAAATGAAGTGTGGGTATTGGCTGAAGCTTTAGATACTTTAATAGACCTTTATTCTGAAGATGAAACTGACGAGATTGCTGCAAAAGTGAAATTAGTGGAAAAGATGTCAGTTTTAGTGCCTATTATTAAAAATAAGGTAAGAGATTCATATTACTACGATATTTTAATATGTTCGTAATTCAAATTGGCGTACATTGTGCAGCCATGATTAATGAAATGTATGAATGAAAAGGTTATGCTATTAACACTATTCTACATTAAATGGTATGGTAACAGTTGACTATACTATGAAATACCACTTTTCAAAAAATAGTCTTTTTCTTCATGAGTGTAAAATATTAAATGAGAGTAAATTTCTCAAATGAGTAGTCACGAATCAATATCGCACGTGTAAATAATAATTTCCCAACAATATAAAATAAACATTCTAAAATTGACTTTAACCCTAGAACTTATGTGCGATATACACATATTCAGTTTGTCAACGAATTCTGTAAACAGTTTTGATTACATTAATGATTGTATATTTCAGGCAAGACAACAGAAGAGACTTCCAAAAGAATATAAAGTACTTGTTACTACAGTTGTTTCAAATCTACCGAGATTCATCAAGTACAAGAAAGGGCGAGTGAGTTGTATCTAATAGGTCATTTTCTATACATATGTTACATTGTATTGTATATATTAATTGTTTATACACTTTGAAATAAATCATATTTTTTAGAACAGAATGCATTAATTTGAAATGAAGCGTAAGTAGAAAGTAACTTTTACATGATTACTTTACAGTAAATTTTGGTTTAATAAAATGTAGAATGTAACATTTTTAGTAATGCAAGTGACTAGTTATATATCCTAGTAGCTCAACGTCCACGCGGTCTCCCTTGGAAACCATTGTCGTTAATTCCTCGTGAATATGAATATGGCTGACTGACTTAACTTCATTTTAATAATTTTAACTGGTTTTTGTCTGAATTTCATAAAAGTTTCTAAACGGCTAACAAACAGTCAGTTGCTCACGAACGTTCTTATAAATTAATAATTATCTAATAGCCAATTAGACTAGTTGAGTAGGTCATAGGCCATTAGAAGTGATCAAGATACAAGATATTTCCCTATTCTTAGAATATATTTATTACTGGTCCATTAGGCATCTAGTATAAATTTAACGACCTTATACAAGCCTGGGAATAGATAGTTCGATGAAGGTAAGATACCTTATAGTAATCAATCGTGACCTTAAATCGTAAATAATTAATGTAAAAAATTACATTAATTATTTACAATAGTAGTCAAACATTCTGTTTGTATCTCGTTTTAATATATGTATTTTAGTTAATTAAAATTACTATGTACAAAGTAGTCTGCGTGGGTGCCTCAACCAGCTTGTTCAGTAAGCTGTTGATGAACCGAATGGAAGGGCAGTAAAATTACAGTGTATATGGACAAGATACTTTAATTCTAAGGAATAGGAGCGTGCGTAGTTAGAAAAGGATCTTTATTTTAAAGAAATAGCAACACTTTCTAACCAGCATAATTAAAGAACAGTTCATTAACCAATGTTACTATAGACCCTTTTTCGTTTGGGTCTTTAGATTTGATAAAACAGTTTTCAGGATCTTGCATATGACAGGACATAATATCATGGCATTCTTATATTTATATTCTTAAATTCTTTAGTGTAATAAGGATAGTAAATAGAAACATTATGTTACCAATAATTATATTTATTAAATAACAGTGACTGAAATAAGGAACAATAATTATAATCCCAACATGAAAACAATTATATAAATAGTAATCTAGTACATTATATTACATTATACTTCTAAATTGACTTAATAAATGAAATCATTCTAAGAAAAATTATCAATTATATTTGATCAAGGCTACTTGAATGCATTTTTGGTGTTATTAAATATATGAAACATCTTATGTAGAATAATGTGGTTTTGTTAGTTTTTGTCCCTATTCTGTAATTACGAGTTGAAAATCTACCTATGATCCAATAACTGATAATATAGTATATTTTTTTATATTATAATATTATTATGTACATATATTTCTATGCGTATAGTATTGTTTTATGTTTCCACCAAGGCATTATACTACATTGTATGTTACTAAATGAATTTTTGGAATTAAACAGATAGACGCTCGTGAATTATTAACTAAATTGAAATATATTTATTATTTATTATTGCAAACAGATTATACGCGTTTATAACAATAGTAACATTTTTAATATAACAATAGTAAACTTTCGTGCTACATATATATATATATGTACAATTTATACTTTCAACTTTAGGTGCTATTAATTATCGAAGTGTAGTTTCTTTAGTCATATCAAACGATTCATAAATATACAGAGCGAAAGATACAAACAAAGACAGTTTGCGTGAGGTGTTACTTTTCTACAAGTACGCGTTGTCTGTGTGGGTGCACAATATATAACAATTTTTTCTTTGATTGATTAAAAGGATAAAATATATGCACCAGAACGATGAAATCGACATTCAAGAAAAACCGTTTTTTATACTACAAACCCATTGCCGTTTCTTTGGACCACGAATTAGGTTCTACCTACTTGCCTGTAATAAGTTATAGAAAAAAATACATCTTTTAACTAGGCCGAGATTCCACTCGGTAAGTTACATTTATGTATCTGCAAGTATCCTTTTCTTAACTCGCTTCACTTTTTTTTATATATATGAAAATGAATTTTTCTTGTAACTATGTCATATCACAGGACTATTTATTCTCATGCAGTTTTATCACATATCAGTAACACTTACTCATTATTGCAAATACTCCCATTTAATTATATATTAGTACTATTATTAGTGTAACTCAAACTCAATGCATAGTTATCACAATATCTTACTCTGTAATGATATATGTATTTATCTATGGCAGAAATGTATATCTACTTCTATGCTATAATATGCAATGTATTTTATGATACGTAAAAATAAAATAAATTACTAATATAAGTGCCTACAGCGACAATATTTACATTACAAGAGACAAAATAACTAAACCCACAATAGTAGTGGACTGCTAGAGTGTGTTCAATGGGTTTTGATGGCTATCCGCTTCTTTTATTAGATTTCGTCGATGGCGACATCGCATTGCACTTTTTCCATAGTTATACTGATAGTTCCGAAAGGCTCGTTTTGTTTGGCATGTATTACGAAAGTCATGAGATCCAATTAATGCTAAAATAATTTTTATATAATATTTAGATTTTAAGCTCTTATATAAAATATCTGTATATCGTCGTGTGGTACTACATCTATAAAAGCGTACCTATTATATAAAGAAAAATACAAGCGACCAATATTTTCCGTTCCGTATCCAAATTGCAAAACGGAACAATATTGCTTTCACCCAGCTGTCAAACTGTCTATCCATCCGTTTACCACTATTGTAAACGAAAGATACTGATACCGACAACAGTGCTATTGGAGCGTCATCTGCGCAGTAATTAGTATATTAATTTTCCTATGAATATTATAAGATTATACATATAAGAGTCAAGAAGTAAGAAGTTGCCATTAATAAAAAGTAGTATCTACTTGTGCATAACTGCATACGATCGTATATCGCACAAAACAAGTTTTCAAGACGTTTGTTGGTATGGCAACTGAGCAAATAACCACTATTACGTACGGATATCGTTATAAAACTGAAATTAAAGTAATTTCTTATAAATAGATCATGTTATGGGATACATTTTTATGATATTTGACAAGTAACGATTCCCTCGGCCATGGAGAGGCAATGTTCAGTTTAAACATTTTTATTTGTTTTTTCAATCTTCACATGTTAAAAAACGTCTAAATCGTAACGTGTATGTAATTTTTGTGTTTGTTTATAATTGTAGCTTAAGTATAGATGTTGCCATTTTCGTTACTTATTGACCAACTAATGTCCCCATGATGACTTCTTCTCGGTTTTGGTATTGGATTTGGGGATGAAATGTCGTTCTTATCAGATAATTGCTTTGTATCTGAGGACGCCCGCTTTTGTACAGTAAATTGTACATCATCAGCAAGTGCTGTATTAAGTTTACTTATTTCTCTTTCAAGATTTCTAGTGGCTTCATCGATTTCCATAAATTCTTTTTCGGTGTTTGAAATTGCGCCAACGCTTTGTTTCCTTGAAGTATTTTCATACACTTTGCATACTACTTTTTGCGGTCCGTCGTTCCCATTATCATCAATATATAGTTTATCGTCGTTTAAATTTATATCGTAATGTACATAACTATCGTCCGATGTATTCGTGAGGCTCTTGCTTCTTTTATTGGAGAGTGCATGAAAGTCTTCCAAGTTTCCTCGTCTCAGCTTAATGTCGTCTTCATTAATGCTTGAATTTCTTCTGTATTTTACAATGTTTACTTTGGCAAATTCCGTATTATTAAGAATGTCATCATTTGAATCTGCATGTCTTATTGTGTCTTCGGTATTTTGCTGTGTTTTTGGCTTGTTAATTTGTGTTATATCGGCATCTTTTTCTAAGGCTTGACTATTTACGGAAGTACCCGTATGAGGTTCCTTGTTGGATTCTTCTTTAATGCTCTCAGATGCAGTAAATTCCTGTATCTTCTTGTTTAGGTCTTCGTCTTCAACAATTTTTAATTCAATGTTACAGTTTATATCGTCTAAATCATCGTCAGCATTGGGTTTTTGTTTTTCATTGACTGATGTTTCATTCTTTACCTAGAAATCACAAAATGCAAATGTTATTTTAAATACTGTATTTACACTGTTTAATGTCGCAAAATATTATAAAAATAATATTTAATAAGTGCTTAGTGAAAAAGAATTCTATATTAACGACAAAGAAATGAATGAATCGCATACCCTGGTTATAAAGATAGGTAAATAGACCGAATCGTTTGACTGTTATGTCTTATCGTAGTATTATAATAATAGCTACATAAATGTTAAGTACCGAAATATCAGCAGTGACTGCGGCCCTTGGTGGCAAGGGAGCAGTACGCTTTTTACGGCGTGGTGCTCTCACGGGTGGAATTGGTTCGTCTTCATCAAACGGATTTGTACTCCCTACGCTCGTCCGCGAGCCTGATATTTCACTGCGAGCCATGCGAGGTGTGCCACTGAAATTAAATATAGGAATTACGGAAAATAAAACGGTATATAATAGTATACCTCTATGTTAGCATTTTTAAAAATATTATGTCCCCCCCCGTCCATAATTGGAATTTAGGAAATTGTCAACGGATTACAGTTAGTAAATTGGCAAATCATATAATGAAAAACTGAAATTAAAATACCAAATAATTTTTATAAACATTTCTCTATATTAATTTATAATTTTACTTTAGGGATAAAACAGTCATTTAAGAATTTGCTAGTTTCATTAAATTTGGCAACGCAATGTATATTATATAATATTGCATTTAAAAGGCCCAGTGCGAAAGGGTTAAACTCGTGTCGTATCCATTTTCGAATTGACCCCCTTAAAAATGAAATTCCCTCCCTGTCGGGCTAAACGGAAATAATAACATCATATTCTACTTTTGAAGGTTTCAATTACAATAAATAGTACTTCCACTGAAGCTCTAATTCCTACAACAACTGTCTAGCCTACATTGATGATAGGCTAATTGCTCTCCTAGCAATAGACGACGTCAATAGATACATACTGTACATTTAGTAGTATTAGGTAGGTAGGTTAGGTAGGCAGAGTACACCTGTTCTACAATCCAAGCAACTTTGTAAGTTTCGGTTGAAGGTAGATGAGATAATGAAGTGAAATTACAGGTTATGGATTTTGACATCCTCGTTATCATGATATCGTGATATCATGATAACGAGGTGCTATTCATGTAACTTTTTTTATACCACGATGGTGACAAACATGTGTACGGCCCATTTGATGGTAAATGGTTATCATAGCCTATGGACGCCTGTAGCACCAGGGATGTCACGTGCGCATTGTCGACCCGTAAGAAACCTTAATATACTCTTCTTAAAAAACCCTATGCTGCAATCTCGCGAGAAAACCTCAGTAGGTAGTTCAGCCCACAATCTAAGTGTACGCGGGAGAAAGCTTCTCTAACACCGTACTGTCCGAGACCAACTTAGGGTTAGACTAGGGTCTTAGCTGATGCTGAATTGTGGTCCGTCAGCATGATTGCCATTCCAGTTACATAAATGAAAAAAGAATGAATATCATGTAGTACAAAAGATGATGTATTAATCATTAGTAGTATGCATGAGTATATTACATATATTATACCTACAATGCAGCGCACTTTGGCCATTCATTGTATCTATTTACATAACAATGTAAGCAAATTGTTTGTGCATTTATGTGATATTTGACCCTAGGTCAATGTTAATAAGGTCGTATTATTTTTATTACGCCTATATTTTGTTCTCTGCGTAATACTACCTGAGATAAATAATTAATAACAAGGATGAATCGCTGCGAAGAAATTACGTATAGTCCGAAGAGACTCCACAGATCTTGATGTTTTTAATGAGTGACTACAACACATAAGAAAGAAAATATATACCGATATATATTTTCTACCGATATATAGAAAATTTATATGTATTTAATGGAGTAAATCTAGATACCTACATAACGTTAATTTAATATTATAGTTACGTTATTTACATTTTGCGCAGTTAGCAATACTATGGTAATTGTAAATATGTTAATTACTATGAACGCAATGTTATCGTGTATCATCACATTCATAGGGTTACATTTTGGAACAAATATGTATAATATAATCAAATGTGTATAATTATTTTGTGGTAAATAAAAATATTCTAATATCCTAAGAAGAGTATACTGAATTGTGGTTGAGAAAAGTATTCTTGTGTATGAAATAATAAAATTAGATTCATCCTTGGTATATCAATAACATAGTCCAATCACCAGTCTATTGTATTTATTTTTAAAGCTTAGTGAGTGAGAAGAAAAGAAAAGACAATTAAAGATAATTCTAGTATGCTATGTCTTCTGAAAGTAATGTAATTTGACTATACCAATATATAGTACTAGTACTTTATACGTTTAGGTATGCTCTAATTTTCTTTAAACGCAATTTCTAAGTTTCCCTAAGCAATAATGTATCCGGTATAATTTCACAGTATTTGATTATTACCTAGGCGTGTTGACTTCATAGTTGCTAGAGCTGCGCAGGCGTTCTTGGAACCGGGAGCGTGGTAGGGGCGTCATGGAACCACCATACACGTACCGATCAGCTCTCTCTGCTGCTCCTATGGTGGTACGGGCTGGATTCGTTGATGTATCTAAAAAATATAAAGGGTTCTTGTAATAACTGTATCAATTAGGCTATTATTATTAATGTGGGTAGCGACCTGTGCGTTATATATAGATAATGGAATAGTAAACTGGCCTTAGGCCCATAGGACGACTGTCATTTGATGACTGTCAAGTACCATGGTATCCAGGGTCAACATAGATATCAAAAGTATATACTTTCACCTTGAGATAATTGAAACTATACAAAATCATTCATAGAAACCATCGCATCCATATTGCAAAAATAGCAGAGAAAAAAATTTCTATACGCACTAATAATAGAGGTCGACATTGCTCTCAATGAGACATGTCGTATTATAACGGGCTGCCTCAAACCAACACCCCTAAATATGCTGTATCCACTCACAGGAATTGCTCCACCAGATGTTCGACGACAGGTGTTGTGCGAGATGGAAAAAAGGAGACAAGAAACCGATTCCCGCCACCCACTTCATAACCACACTATTCCCGATGTCCGCTTAAAAAGCAGGAAGAGTTTTTTAAGAGGGACAAGTGCCTTGACCAACGACCCACATAAAGCCAAAGTAGACTTATGGAAGTTAAATCATCCTGCTCCTTTGGACTTTATCCAACCAATCGAACACCTGCCCCCAGGTAGCGACCTGCAATGGCCCATTTGGAAATCGCTCAACAGACTACGAACCCAGATGGGCCGCTGCAGGTACAACTTGGTAAAGTGGGGTGCCGCTTCAAGGGAGGCTTGTGACTGCGGAGCGCCATCCCAGACTATGGCACACCTGCTGGCTTGTCCTTTGTGCCCAGCAGTCTGCACAAGGGGGGACCTAAGGGATGCGACGGAGTGTGCAAGGATTGTCGCGGCGTTCTGGGGAAAATATATTTAAATATATGTATTTGGTTGCCGTTGAAACGAAGAAGAAGAAGAAGAAGGCACTAATAATATAAAGAAATTCGTTTGTAATGAATAAATTGAAATAATAGTTGACCAATATTAAAAATTCCATCAATAATTGATGTAGCGCCGCGAGTAGTAATAAATAATTTGTTACTTTAATACTCACTTTGAAAATTTCTTCTATACTCAATACCACCGTTGGCACCGTTCACCGATGTGTTGCGGGGCTTAATATCTTTTTCTTGTGGCGGCTCTTTCTTTCCTTTCTTCATAAATGACCGTAAACTCCTGAAAGTGAATAGTTATTTCATTTGTAAATGAATGTAAATTGATATTACATGTCGTGATAGTTTGGCCCACTTTAATCTCGAGAAGTATATATTTTATATAGTATATATTTATATATTTTATATATAATATAGAAATAGGTATAACATACATATAAGAAAATAGAAAACAAATCTATTTTAGTTTCAATACTTTTTTGAGTGCGTCAGGACTTAGAGGTTACTACCCTGAGTCAATTTGAGTCCTTAAATTTTGGCAGATACCAAAAAAAATCTCACTCTCCGTTGAAGGAAATCTAATATATAAAAAAAATAATCCCAGTAACGGCGCCGGTAGGTTCCAGCTCTTCCTCTTCAGATTCAAAATATACCTACCGAACGAAATGTGAGGATTTCAAGTGTAGTTTTCACAACAACACCGACCGTTGACAATGCCTCTGATTATATATGATATCAGTCTAATAATATCTATGATAACAATCGCGACGGTATGTTTGTTTAGTTGTTTTTAATGTATGATAATGGAGAGGTGCACTCCTGCGCTAACGGTACCTATACGCTGGCGCGACTCCAGTGGAGGATGACAAACTGATGATAAGATCAAATTGATATGAGATGATATATTGTTTGCAATGGGTTAATTAGCCATCATTACTAACAGTCTAATTTCTAGGTCTCTCGCAGGACAATCTAATGATATGGTATGGTAGTTGAAGAAGCTGCCGGCACCAATCAACATTCGCTGTTACTCCAGTTAGCTCATGATTACGGCTAATGCAATCTAGTTGAAACATCGAGAGAGGTTAGAGAGAGAGAGACTCCATATAGAGAGAGGTTGAGGAATTTAAACCCATCCATTCGCATTAGCAATCGTTACGTTATGTGTCTGATTATTTAATATGCAAATAAAAGCAATACTTTTGGCGCAAGTTCTTCATATTACAGTACTCTTACTCAAAACCTAAATATATACGTATACAAACGTGGCCTCATTACTATATTGTTATACCTAATAATAATATAAACATTCCTCATTCTTGTATAAACAAATATTCAACTAAAATATACTCAGTGGTAATAAGTGGTCTTGTGTGACTCACTGGGTTATTATGTTGCTTCATGGTAAAAAAAGGTAACATATTTTGGATAATGTTAGGAATAACATTACAATACTATAACATAACAAACAAACTAATAGGGTCAATAGTTCTTATTAGTACTTAGTACCAATTAATGTAGGTAAGGTGTAATTCTACTAGATATTATTTGATTGCTCGACAGCTTTTTCATTGAATACATATGTAAGTACATTACAGCTTTCGCGTTGTTTTTTTTTTAATTCCAAACCTACCTGGCTTACAGCCAGGTATAGTCTTGATGAAATTTTGTCTAGAGCGTCATCGCATAGTGATTTACTACAAAACGTCGCAAGTTCAAATCTGGTCGACACAATAAATCCTGATGTGTCAATTTTTTTCTGTCTCCGGTGAAGGTAACACCGATATTAAACCAAAAATTACTTCCATATGCCTTCATATACCCAATGAAAACTGGGCAGATCAAGTGTCAACCACAATATTGACAGTTGATAATGACTCTCCTTATCGGAGATAACAATCGTGATGGTAAGAAGGTATCCTCTGGTATGTGTTTTTGTTACTTTAGTGTTACTGCACGTACCGTGTTCGATATTGTTATTTACTGTACTGTACGTGAGAGTTCACGATCGAGTAACGGATGTCTGTAGGCGCAACACTGACAAAAGTAATGGAAGTTTAGTGCACTTGATTCCACTTGAGCGGCCGCAATTGTGCCGTGACGGGCGGATGGAAGAACGACCATCATAATATCGCCCACAGACAGAATATCTTGCACACTATGCTTCTGGAACTCGCCAGGTGTTCAATAAAACTTTTAAATGTTACAATATTAATATGATCATCAATCAAATAAGAACTGCTTGTTATTATTAGTAGAATAGAAATTCATCTTTGTAAAATCTTTGAGGACTTAAATACGAGTAGCGTCGAGGATCGACACAAACAAACAAACAAGTTTAGTGAACTGTTTTAGAACATTTCCTTCTATTATGAACTGCGAATCTAATATGCACATTATACCTACAAGACTTAAGAATACTGATTCCTTTGTTATCTTATATATAAAACTCTCGTGTCACAGTTTTCGTTCCCATACACCTCCGAAACAGCTTGACCGATTCTCATGAAATTTTGTGAGCGTATTTAGTAGGTCTGAGAATCGGCCAACATCTATTTTTCATCCCCCTAAATGTTACGGGTAGTCCACCTACGCACCTATTTTTTTTTTTTTATTTTAAGGCAAAACAACGTTTGCCGGGACAGCTAGTTTTAATCTAATATTTTAGTTACTTGAAATGATATGAATTCATGTTTCTGAATTTACTATAAAACGTATACTAACGAATTTACTATAAAATTTTGTATTGGTAAATTGAGTTTTATACTGCAAAAATTTTAAATTACTTAGACACAATTCTGAGACAACTTAAAAAATATTTATCTTATCAATGAAAATCAACAGGGTAAGGGGTAGTCATGTGTCCGATGAAGTCCGATCCCCTAATAAGTCTATCTATTAGATAAGTGAGGAATAAGTAAAAATAAATAATAATATAATAAATAGTTCAGACACAATAATTTTACTTTACATGTAAATTTAAAATATTTATATTTGAAACATTGAAGAAATCGCTTAAGAATTACTCAGCTATAAATTTGCTAAATTCTGTTGTAACTTACATATTTTTTTAATCAGCGTGTTAAAGGATTAGTTGAATTTTAATATTATGTATAAAATACGTGAATTCAAACTCTAATGTATAGTTCTATAAACAGATATCTCGGAACTGTCTGTAACTGATAATTAGTTGTGATGTCAAGTTTTTTGTTATCTACACTTTTTTGGTAAGATTTGTTATCTACTGATAATATATTTCAAGACATTAAATTAATAAGAAATATATCATTATATTTCTGTGTATATATCTGTTTAGATATATATAGATATATGTAACCTACTTAGATAAATAGGTATAGTGCTTGCTGCGGAATAAGTAATTTATAGATATCACTGTAAATATGTTTTTTGACATTTTGAACGCATTCGTTAAAAAAATGTAATAGTAAGTTTATAATTAAACCATCTTATCTTTATATAAAAATTACCTGTCACGTTGTTTGTCGCGATGTACACTTTTAAACTACTGAACCGATTGCAAATTTGATTTCCATATTGTGTGCAATTTGATTCAACTTGAAAGATAGGATAGCTTACATCTCAATTTATAGTCTCAATATTGTTATTCAAGAACCTTAACAGCAACGCGTGGCCATGTCTGCTAGTAAATATGTATATTTATACCTGTAGTTATTGCAAAAAGTTGCCTGTGTGATTACCAGAGTCTTTCTTATTATACCGGTCAAAAAATCCCATCGAATGTATAGCCAGAAGGAGTATAGGGCTGGATATTCAATATATTCGAGTTTACCAATACCCTATTCTAGCAGTTTCCGGGCTTCTCTCCGCGCCTTTTCTTCTAAAGTTCTTCCCATTTTCTCCACATTTGAGTTATAACTGATAATAAGAAATTGAATTTTTTCCACGGATAACAGTATATTGAAGAAAAATTCTTAAATAACTACTATACTATAACATAAAAATATGCTTTGTAAGCTACGTTTCTGTGGAAGGGCAGTGAAATATGGAGAGATGACGTCTTAGTCCTCTGAAATGTTAACGTATAAATAACGCAGGGTATCATGGGCGCCAAATTATAATTTAATATCCGTTCTGCTATCCAGTACCGCATGATCAGATGGGCAGTCTGCTTGTTTGCCATTCCAACATAATAAAATCCATTCACACTCCCAAATAAAGGTGATTCAAATCGACTGTTTTATGATGTTAGGTAATATGACATTTTGTAATCGAAAGGATTTACTTATTTCTATCTTCCATACTAACTAATTTAGTCACTTGTTTCAGTGGAGTAATTATTTTGAATTTAGTTTAACCTTCTATATGGCTTGTTAAGGACGTTGATTGCTGAAGACTCGCAACGTTGCATACTACCTTATCTACGTTTGTATTATCTGTTAGTTAAAATAAATCAAAATTATTAACAAAAATCTCTTTTGTTGATAACGTAAAAATATGTTTGAAATCTTAGCAAAATATGAAATACCTATACTTATGTATAAATTTTGATGTATATTATGATATGTATATTATGATATATATATATATATATATATGTATATTATTATTTTAAAAATTGATGTTTTTAACTATGCAATGAAATCGTTACAAATTTCAGTACAGAATATTCTTATTTGTTTTACGCCTTAGCGTAAGCATAAGAATGTTCTGTACCGAAATTTTTCTTATGTAAGTACCTAAATAATCATCCTGCCAATTGGCTAACAGCTTGCAGTCGAGAGATAAAGTAATGATAATGTTGTTATTCTAAACTCTGACTATGAAATATAAATGCGAGGTCCTGTATATCACTATACGACAAGGTCAAATGTAATGACTTTGCATTGCAGATCATCTTCACGCCTAGCATGTTTATGAGTAGTTTATCGTTTATGTCAGTCATACAAATGCAGAGGATGTAAACAACTGTATGTTGAGTGCACACCAGTTTGACCCAGTCGTGAACTTATTCAACACGATTAAACATCTAATTCATTTAAGAAGATGATGCAGTAAATTAATTGACGCAAACCAACGTATGTTCGAGTAGATAAATGAACAAGTGTGGATACAATTAAGTCGTTTAGTTCTCAAGAGTAATTAGCAATTTACCTATTATCTAATATCGAAAACAGATGTAAAAATCTTATTTTAAACAACTCTAGAACACTAACACGTGGCAAAAATTTTTGGTCTTTACATAGATACAACCTTCAGAATTAATTTTACTTGTACGAGACAATTAGTTATTTTATTGGGTAG